GTACAGAACATGTTTATTTTAAAGGAACTAGCGTAAAATTGATTCCGTTAATAAACAAAGAAAGGCGTAATTTAATCAGAGTGTTTTAATCTGTTTTTTAGGATTAAGAATGTCATATTACGAGTACGATAGTTGTGGATATTGTTTACTTGTGGGATCTTGCACCGTTTGTGTCCTTCTGGGCATAGCCGGAGTGATTGCTGGGTCAGTCCTCATCGCACAAAACCCCCTACCGTACGGCACTTCCTGGTGGTATGGCGATAACAGTACGTGGAACAGTTGGTGGAACGTTCCTTACAGCGAGCAGTGGTACGTCAACTATTAACTAATATTGCTGCAGTTTAAATTACTACTTTGAAGAATATGGTTTTACCAACATAAATTAAGGCTATGTTTTGTCGTGAGAACGCTACGCCCTTTGTGTACAATAAGTGCGGCAAAAGAAGCCCTACGTACTCGCCCTCATATACCCCTAGTTACAGCATTTTCTGCTACGAAAACGGTTGTTTGGGGGGAAGGGAAATAGGATAGGCAGATAAGGGAATTGTTAGAAATAAGTGTTAAGTGAAGAAATGTAGTAAATTTTGTTTCCTGCCGCCTCTGAGAGTGAGTTGTTCCACTTGTAAATTGAAGTTTTGCGTGGCGTTAAGCGACGCGAACTATACTTATCTAACTCCAGAACGGTAAATTAGACCTCAGGTACGTTAAAGTAGACGACCTCCTAACCAGCATTTCTATTTTTTCGGAAATTTCAAGAAGTGTGCAATTTGATAATCGGGATTTTCCGCAATACTTTAAGCGAAAATACAAAATAGGAAAACCTACAGACATAATTGAACTATACATTTAAATACAATTAAATTAAAATGCATATAACAGCACTTAAATTATATTCCACTGTGTGACCTAACTTCCCGCCCATAAAACCCTTTAACCATCGTTTTCATAGGACAACATTCTGGAAGTAGGGTATGACGAGGGGATTACATAAGCTACTGTTGCCATAAAAGGCTTATGGAGCAGTGCATAGTAGGCACATTTTTGAGTGCGAAAGCGAATATGCAGACAGTAAAGAGAAGAATGTTTCCAGCAGTTAAGCAAATACAGTACGCGGCATAGAATTATGAAAAATGGATTAGAAATTGCATGCCAGAGTTTGTAAGAAGTAGGCCAACCATTCAATGTGCATTTCAACCTTGACTTTTAAGGTATTATGGGTTGGGAGTGTCGCTTCTGGTGAGCGGACTAGTCGTCCTGGTTTTTGCTGTCCTCCTCGCGATCTGTGCATCTTCTATGGAGCCTGTCCCCCCACGTGCCGTATACCCGAGTCCCGGTAGAAATGAACGCCCTTCATCTCCGACAAAGGTTGGTGAATGAATCATAATCAATTTTATTAGTTTAGCAGCATAAATACATAGCAAATTCAATATTGTACAAGCATACCTTATATCTAACGGAAAACTGTTTTTTATTTTACTTTTAGGCTGCGCAGCCACCACCATACGTACGATAAACTGCAACAAAACTCGGCATGTGCTAGGCCTTGAATTCAGCCTACATACAATCATAATCAGCAGGCGTATCATTAACTCTCCGCCCTGTTCCTATGAATCGCGTGTATTAACTGACCAACATATTTTAACTTGTGCCACTTTCCCCATATGCTTTTTGTGACCCAATGATAATATATCAAAAACTTACGTACGCTCACCAGTTAGCCTTCAGAGTTATTGAATGTGGCGTTTATAAAAAAGATCGGCAACACTCGTTGGCATTACTTAACTCCAAACGGTAGGTTTCAGTGAGGTCAGTTAGGTGTGGGAGCTAGCAAATGTGTATCAGGTGGGTAGTTGCCTAACTAGGTACTCAAAGCGGTCAGTCGAAATCCGAGAAGCAACGCAGACCGTTTGCAGGCTCACTGCCAGCCTATAACAGTAAGTAAAGTTATCCTGAGAGAGAGCTCATGGTTTTCAACCAAAGATCGTGTCGGCCCAGCTAACGGAGCGTTAGGACTTACTCGTAGATGCGGCTGACACCTCGCTTGCAGGTGATCAACATTGGAAACTTTGAGTCGCCTACCTATTACTAAAGGCATTTTAAAAAACAAGTCGAATATCACGAGTTGAGCAGAATTTATTGACGCCATACAATT